GACCTTGGTAAAGACCTTTCATGTTAATTTAATTACCTCATACAAAATATAATAAATGAACATATACTATCTTGTGCATCTAGCAAAATGGACATTCAGAGTATACTTAAAAGGAAAAAATTATAATATCAATATTAACCCAATGGGAAAAATGCCATAATTTGTTTCAAAGCAATTACAGAATAAATTTTAGTCTGAAAGCATGCATATAACATCAACAAATATCAACATTATAGAAAACTTTGTCTGAGAATAAGAATATTTGATAACATAAAAGATATGAGAACTTTAAATCAATTAGCTAGCGAAAACAAGAATCAGTGCCAAAGCCAACCCAATCTGTGAATATAAATACTAAGACAGAGTCAGAAAAGTTAAAATCTATTCTATTCTGGCCTTGCTGACCAGTCATAAAAATTGTTAACAACCTCTGGCTCTTTCTATTGAAAATATGTGTATTAGCAACCTCCCAAATGAAAATTTAAAGAAAATGGCACAGTAAAGAGCAGTTTTTGAGACCTTTATGTAGTTATGAAAGAAAAGATAAATATTGAAAAATCTCTATATATCAATATACAACAGTCAAAATGATAAAATTAGAAAAATACTGCAGCTCAAATCATAAACCATAATAGATACTGACATGCACATATTCTGCAAAACAAAAATAAGTGACCAGGAACACAAAAGAAAAGGCTGCAAATGTTATCTTTGGAGAGTTCATGGAAAAGCCAACAGAAATGGCTTAGGCATATTAAAGGCACACATAATTTCACTTAAAAGAAAAACAGAAACTTCACTGAGATACTGCTTTTTGCCTGTATCAAAAATCAAAATAGTGTTGATTGATATGTAGAGAGATAGGCATTTTCATGTATTATAATATGACAGAACCTCTGTAGAAGGCAATTTGAAAGACCCCTCCTCACACCTCACACAAAACATATGTATGTCCAGTTGTTTGATCCAACTTTTCTACTTTTAAGAATTTATAATGTAAAGTTAATTGAATATTTGTTATAACAGAAAAATAATGAAAATAATCAACCAGTAGGGAGCTGGCTAGATTCAGCCATACAATGAACAAATGTGCTATATGAAAGCAACAGGATTGATCTCTATGAATTGATGTTGAATAAACTCTAAAAGATATTAAAAATCAAGTTAGTGAATACAGTATTCAACTGGTTGCATAGGAGAGGGGAAAGAATATATTCTATGTGTTATGTACACACACTTATATCCATACATATTTAATAACAAAATATCTCTGGAAATCTCAAAACCTAGAAAGTTATACATGAATAACTGTTTCTAAGGAGAAGAGAACTAGTTGCCTGGGGGAGGGAGGTGGGAGAGACTCCCATGTATGCCCTTTTATAAGGATTGAAATTTTAAGCTATCTGAATGAATTACATCTCAAAAAAGTGTAATAAAAAAAAATTCCTACCCTCTAGAACATGTCCCCCAACCCTGACCTCAGTTAACCTCCTCTATCACCAATGAGTGGTGTGGAGTCAACTCATTTGTATGCTTCTCCATAAACAGATATTGGACACATGTCTATTTACAAGCTAGTTTAATGAAACCACCATATAAACTCAGTTTGAAGAAAAAGTTCATTGAATCTCCAAAATGGAGAAACTGTGAGTTGTGAGTCTCAACAACAATACATTTTGAGTTTAGAAATGAAAGGAAGCAGAGATATGGGATTAAAGTTAATGATAGTTTAGGATCCTCTGGGATTGTATTTTTCAGTAGCAAGAACATTCCTGGGTTCTTGAAAGAAAAAATACTGAGAGAGTGGTCAAACATTCTGCATTATAAACAAATTAGCCTCAGAGATTAAGCATAATGCTTTACCCCCAAAAATGAGTGTGACAGATTTTTGAGGTTCAGTGGTATCCTTTAGAAAGCACAGGCAGACTCGGAGGGAGAAAAGAGAGAATTAGGCATTTTATTTTCTTCCACAGCATATTCTTACTTATTAAACACATTAAAACACTTTCTGCAGAAGTAATGCTGTTAAAACTCCTTTTCCAGAACTGAATCTTGGGGTTCACTAAGGTAAAAAATATATATGATTTAAACAATGCCAACTATGGAACCTGAAGTATTAAAATTATGAAAAGTTGCCTTGTAGGGATTAGGTTGAAAGTGGCCTATAAATGTAACTAAGGATCTTAGTAGCTCTCTTTCTGAACCCATTACTGATGAGCTTGTCTTTACACTGGTCAGACCCCATAGTGAATTTCTTAATAAAAAAAAAAGAAAATGGAAAATTGATTGCCAGTCAGAACATGGAAGACATGAAGGACATGTTGGTCTAATTTCCTGAAAATACTGCCAAGGAAATGGGGATCCTGAGAACTGCCCAAAATGATGCAGCTGGTCAATGGTAGTAGTAGATCAGCTTGGATTTATGCTTATCTTTGCCTTTAAATATTTTAAAGGACACTGATACCCTTTCATCTTGAATGGGTTCCAATGCTATAGCAGAAGGCAGGGAGCTTATTTAGAGGTTTTTTTCTCCCATGAATATCACTCATTTTTTAATGTGCAATACATGTGCTGTGTGCATTTGGGTGTATTGTGGGGAAAGCAGTTTTCATGATGCTGGAGAGTCACTCAGTAGAATATGAATTCATTATGCCAAATGGAGGACCACTCCCTATGCTGAAATGTTTCCAATTGCTTCCATACTCTGTGATAAAAACCAAGGACTTAGCTGAGAAACAGATCCACTGCTTCTGCAATGTGTTTTGTCAACTCTAGTTTGTGCCTTGTGGGCCAGTCCCAGGGTTGGATTTTCTTACCTATGAAATGGGACCAGTGACCTCAACTCAAATTTACTTGGATGTTCTCAAGCATGCATAAAGAGAATAACACTGAAATTCTTAGCACAAAATACTGCTATGTAATAGTGTTGTCTGTAAAACAGTTACAGATAGGCAGGCAATAATGGAATAGTGAACAAACGTGGCTGTTTTAATATGCTTATTGTTTCTATTTGATTGTCTCAGCTCAAATTTCTGAGCATCTTCAGGCACTGACAGAAAGAAGAGAATTTAAATAGTATACAATGCTACCATAACAATATTGTACCTGTGAGCTTATCTATAGAGACTTCATACTGCCAGAGTTAGCAGTATGAATTCCATTGCCCAAGCAGCAAATTTTTTCTTTTTTACAGTAGTGAGTGTAGGATAGATTTCACCAAAATGAAATTGGTAGCATCAAATCTGTTTAAAGTAAAGTAACACGTCATGTAGAATATTTTCCCCAGCCTGATGCACCTAAAAGCTTAGTTCAGTGGATTTTGAAGTGGGAGGAGGAGGAGGGGTGGGATTAAGAATAAGAAATAGTTCAGTGGAAAGCAAACTTTTCTTTAGCGACTCAAGGTTCTAACTTCTTTAGTACTGTAGACACGGTACCACATGTTTTTTAGTTTTCCTGGAGGAGAAACAAAGTCAAGCAGTAACAGTTGTGAGAATGGTTGGAAACATCTCACTCTAAACTGACCCTGTGTTTTAATTTCAGCCCCTCTCTCAGATCTGATGAAGTCTGCTTTCGGATCTTCCTATAAAACAAAGTCAAGGTGAATGTTAAAAAGTGGCAGAGGTGTGGCCAATTGCACGATGTGGCTCAAGTTTAAATTCTGCTTGGGAAGGAAAGTGTGGAAGGCATCATCAATTCATCTTCAGATACCCCGCAAGAAGGTTGGCGGTGAACAGCGGGGCTCCTTGATCTAGCAAGGTCGAGCGGGGGGAGGGGGTGTATCCCACGGTAGCTATTCTTCAGTTTTTAGCCATCTCCTCTTGGAAAGGATGGCGAGGGTCTCTCTTGGAGTTGGAATCTATGTAGGCTGTCAGCGCTCTTTAGGACCTCAGGGAAACCCGAGTGTTTCTGGCTTTAGGACCCAGGAACTCTGAGGCAGCCTGGGTTTTGATGCCTTGGACCACAGCACCACCTACTTATAGAAGCATCCCCAGCCTTAGCTCGTCTGCATCTCCATTGGGAAGTGCTCTGGCCACATCCCTTCAGCCTCCCTGTAGCGTTTTGTCTCCCACAGCGTGGACTGGGTGAAACCTTAGCTGTGAAGTGACGGTGGAGAGTAGGAGAAGCAGGACAATTGGATAGAGAGCAAGAGCACCCCTTGCCCAAAGACCGCACAAACCCGCGGAGACGCAGCATCACAGCGACTGAGGTCTCGCGGGTCCGGCCGTGCTTGGTCCCGCCGAGCTCCTGCCAGGCGCCGCCAGCCCAGAGGACCCTCCCCATATGCTGACCCTGTCGCGACCGCCGGAATCTCAGAGCTACTAGGTGCTCCTGGCGGGTGTCTGCAAACTTTTCCTGAGTCCACGTGCTAAAGAAGCAACTCGCTTCCCGAACCTGGGATGGAGCACCGCGCCTAGGCACGCCGTGCCGCCCAAGACACGGAGCGCACGGTAGGCGACCCACACCTGGCAGTCGCAGCTGCGGCGATCGGGTACCTCACAGTGGGACCCAACGGGCCAAAGAACTTTTTTTTTTTTTTTTTTTAAACCCTGTGCTCTCGGTGCCTTTAGACCTCTTTCTGCGGAGCGCCCACACAACGCCCTCTCCCTGGGGTCGCATCCCATACTCGGCAGAACTTGCTAAGTCACTGATTGTAAACACCTTCCTCTTCCAAGTCGCCTACAGCTGTGCGCCCTGCATTAAAGTGCTCGGTGACTCGGGCCAGTAAGTTCTCTTCCTTCTCCCGTTCTTTAAATTGGGACGCGCGGAGGCGCAGGTTCTTCCTTGGGGTTCTCTCTGTCCCCCCACCCACCCTGTTTCTCCTGGTTTCCCAGGTTCGAAAAGGGGAGATGTTAATCGCGCGGAAGTGACCATTGCAGCCCCAGCGCCAGTGGCGAGTCTCCCTGAATTCCTCCCCAGCAGCGCGGCTGGCGCCGTCTTCTTGGAGGAGCCCTGCAGTTCCCCGACTTTGAGAGGCATCTCTCCCCCTCCCGACCGTCCAGATGCAGTTTCGCCTCTTCTCCTTTGCCCTCCTCATTCTGAACTGTATGGATTACAGCCACTGTCAAGTCAACCGATGGAGACGCAGTAAGCGAGGTGGGTTCTTCTCTGCGGAAGGTGCGTGGGGTCCCCGTGTGCATGGGGGGAATCGCGGTGCCCACTGATGCCTGGGATTCGGGGACTCAGAAGGGTGGGATCATGCCTCCCATCCCAGCTCTTGCAGACTACAACTCTCCTACTTTCGGGGCTCCAGAGCTCTGCAGAGCGGAGTCTGCCCCGTCCCCAACATGTGCTGTGACCAGGAGCCAGACGCACCAGCAACCCCATGAGCCAGGCATCTTCAAAACGCTCAGGGCTAAATGGTGTGGTCCACACCCCCCGAACGTTATAGTGCCTCCACTCCTGAATTCTGCCTTCGATCATATTTCTTCTCTGGCATCCATTTTTCTTGTTCTGCCTTTCTCTTTTTTCCCTCTTTTAGCCATTTCTCCTGAAATCCAGTTGTCTCTCCTTTCCCTACCCACGTGCTCCCCAAATTCTGTCCTAGATCGCTTTGGACAGTGCCTGGCATTTGTATGTATGTGTGTGTGTGTGTGTGTGTGTGTGGGTGGTGGTGGTGGTGGCGGTTAGGGTGTTGGTGAAGTTGAGCAGGAGACCTGCGTTTCCAGGAAAAGACCAACATTGATCTGTTTTTCTGGAACCACAGACAAGATAGGAACTTTCTGAATTAAGTTGCAACTCTTGTGCTGGCTTTCTGGGGAGTGCTACACGACAGCATGATATATAGATCTCTCTCTCTCTCTCTCTCTCTCTCTCTCTCTCTCTCTCTATCTCTCTATCTCTCTCTATCTCTCTATCTCTCTATATATTTTAATAGTCCCCACTTTGTCCCTCTGTTTGCTTTCTTAAAAAGCAGCAATTGAGAGAAGGTTTTTTTGTGCTCAATGAAATTCACTTGAGGCTTTTTAACCGCTTGTTTCTCCGTCTCTCGTGTGCGCAGCGGAAACGGTTAATGGAAGCCTCCAGAAAGGTTTCAGAGAACTAGCTATCCTGCAGATTTAGTGTGCCCTGGTTTTTGTCTTCCAGTCTCACTAGGGCTGCATCTAACCCAGTGGCATTTTAGGGTAACGTGCAGTTAGACACAACGAAGTCTTCTGGGGAATTTAAACATAAACTACACCACACACGCTTACCCCTTGAATTACCCGCGCAGGGAAAGTGAGCAGCAGCCCCTCGCATGCACCTGGTGAGAGCTGTTTGTCTTCATCCGGCAGTTCGGATATCTATGCACTTAGAACTTGTCATAAGGTTCATAGACCTTGATATCCCCCCATCCCCCGCAAGGTATAAACGTGTAGACCTGTGATGTGATTCTTTTATAACTCATTTCATGAAATCTCTAGCCTTACATCTAGATGTTTTGGAGAGTGTTGTTTGAGCTGCATTTTTTGGACGGCTTTAAAGAGGCTATTTAAGCAGTTCTCACATATGGACAGAGATAGAGGTTGGTATACCCCAGGGCAGAGCTCCAGATAACTGGTGGTGGGAGAAGTGTCTGTTCTCCATTGTCTCTATGTATCTGCAGCTTATGAAAAAGATACACATACACACACATTCACATCTCTGTCTCTTTCATTTCTGACATTTTGGAAAATGCATCTTATTTTTGGAGATTATCCCACATAAAAATAACAGGGAGAAAATTCTTCCCAGAGGCCATGAGAGTTTTATATTGATATTTGTCTTTGAAAAGTCCCCTTCCATTCCTCTACCCCTGCCAACTGGCTCTTTACTCCACCCCAGTATTTTCTTTCGAGGTATTATTTGGCAAAGCCGGCAAAGTTTGATTATACTGCGGTCAAATGTGTTTGGAGAGAGTTCCCCCCTTTCTTAAAACCTGAGACTGCAGTCAATTTATCTGAAAAAAATTAAAATGCTGAAAGTTTGGAAAATATAGAAGTATTTAAAACTGGCAAATTCTTATTAGATGACTTGCTAATTCAGTGATGGATGTCTGATCCTCACTGGCTGTCCCTCTGAGGTTGAGGAGAAAAAAACCAAGCACATTGTTTTAGCAGAACTTGATACAGAGATACTGTTTAGTGGAGAATGACATTACAGCTCTCCTGCGGCCAGAAGTGATACTGCATGCATTTCTCCTGCAGGGACATATCTGAGATTCTGCCTGTGCTTTGCTTCTTAGGTATGGAAGGCAGAACTTATTTATTTCAAAGCTTGCTTTAAGCAAAATCTCTTATAGCAATTACCATCTACATCCCCAAGCTCTGACATGTAGAAACTCAATTCCAAAGTGTGCAATAATAACTTTTGCCAAACCAATCTTTCCATTTCATAAAGTCCGATGCTTTCAAGTACACGTAAATTGGTAAGATTGTAAAAAAAAAAAAAAATTCTATCGAAGTGTGTTGTGCTTTTTTTTTTTTTTTTTCAAACCCCCCTCAACAGATGTCTCTTCCCAGTTTCTGGTTAAAATAACTGTGGTCCTTAAAAAGTGACCACACCATCATGCCAACAAAGGGTGTACTATGTTTTTAATTAAAAGTGGAACTACTTAAAGGGCTGGCTAGACGGAGCAGGGTGATAGTAGCTTTGCTGCTTTGCAAAGCTACTTTGTATTGTGAGAGTATTGAAATGAATAGAGATCTAACTCAAGTTGGTGTGAATTGTTCTTCTTCACAAACTTAAGCTGGTTTTAATTGATCTCATGTCCACGATTGATCCTACACCAATTGTTGTGCATACCAAACAATTGGCTTTCCCAAAGGAGATTGATTTAAATTAGTTTCTTGGTGAATGCCTGACTACTGGCCAAATCATGTCACCAATGACCATTGACATACTAGAGCCTAACATTTCCCTTTCCCCTTTTGTTTGCATAGTGGCAGTTAAATATTACTTTCTAGGAAGAAAAGCTGTTACTATTTCTTTAAAAAAAGGTGTTGTAGCTTAGAAGATCAGTTGTTTTCTTGGCTTTGTGCTCCGATGTAGGCACGCAGCAGTGGTACCAGGATTGGTTAGGCTTACCCCTGGGACCTGATTCTTTTTTTCCATATTCCATCTGCAAATAATCAAACCTTCACTGTGGAGCATTCTCAGAACTCCTTTGGCATCATGTTTAGTCTGCTCTATGATCTCAGATGCTCCATAATATCATTTTCTTAATGAAATAAAATTCTTGGCAGAGATCAGATAATTTAGTCGGTTAAAATCAATTGCATCCAGTCTGGAATAGAGAGCAAATGTATCATTTAACTCTATGTTTGATTTCAAAGTATAGCCAGAGGATTTAGAAAATGAAAAGTCGAACTTCTCTACTTTTGGACAAAACTTTGTATGGGGAAGACCATAATAAACAACAACAGTAGTCACCTACTGCATTTTCTTCCCTTTATTTTGAAACAAAAATCACAAATAAAAACCTCATAATCACTAATGGGATCCAGCTGCAATAATTTATTAATTATTTACAAACACAGTGCTTAGTGATATCGTTGTAGAAGGAAGACATGCCAATATTTTGGAAAACTGATTGACAACTCATGTTTTGTCTACATGGAAACAGTGTTGAGACTTGGTGGCCCCTTCATCCCTCTTCAGTATTAATCATCATTAGCTACTATTAACCCCTACTGTCTTGAGACCTCCTATAATTTATTTGTATGGTCAATGGGGTTATTTGATTGGTTTTAATTTTGGAATGGTTGTAAGCTGCATTTTGGGCTGAATTACTGAAAATGAATAGTTTATATTTATATTATATATGTTTATTTTGATATCTTGGACTTTATTCCTTGCTATATAATGACTTAATCATGTATCTCTTCCATTCTGTCAGTATGCCTAGTCATGTTTTTACCAGAGACTTATGCAAACTTCTTAATAAAGCTTTCTCCAAGCAGCAAGTTTCCCATACATATGAACTTGTGTGTCTGGTGGTCTGATGGTAGGGGCATAGTGTAGCAAGGGCAACCTTTCCTAGCCCTTTCTATGCCAAAGCTTCAGCTTCTGTTAACTCCATAACAATTACATTTGGCTTCTTCCATGAAAATGAAGTGTTTATCACAAATAGTGTGATGTGTTTCTGGCAACTGAGGTTGGAAAAAAAAGATAAACAACTTTCTGTTAAATTGTATAGAGCTAAATTAATTTTCTTTTAAAACATTAATGAAGAGACTTGGGAGATATTTGTTTTTATAAGTGCTTTTTAATAAATTTGTTTCTTATGGTATTCTTTCAAAATACAAACTGGCACATGGAACATATTAACCTACACTTAAATGAAAAAGCTTCAAAATACATTTTGTATGCACGCTTACTTTAAGTTCCAAAGTACTTCAGAAAAGTTGATGTGATGTTTAACTTTCAAAATAAACAGTTTCTTTTTTTCTTCTCTTTTTTTAATTGGCTGCTTTTGCTTCCAGCATAATTGCATCAGTTTTCTGGCCTGTGTCTTAACCAGTACAGGGAGGTCAGAAAGTTGCTGTGCTTAGACCAACATCTTATTTTGCCACTGAAATTTGGAAGTGATTCAGAATAGGTGATATTCTCCTAACCCTCTATTTATTTCTGGCTTACTCTATCTGCTCTTAAAATTAGGTCTGAGTAGAATCCAATAGTTGTAGCAATCACAAGTTGGAAATGACATTTCTAATTCCTTAATGCAAAACCACCTCTTGATTTATTCAGGAACTGGCCAGTTCACAGATTATCCAGGCTACTTTTTAATTCTTTCCTTCCTTCCAACTGTCTTTAAACATTTTTTTCTTCAGGAAATAGGCATTTTTATCCATACCAACTTCAGGAAATGGATGACAGGCAAATCTTTTGATATAATGCCTGATTACCACTTTGTATTTCTCAAGATGTGATTGAGGGTTATTATTCACTCCCTGCTATTATCTGTAGCAAATCAAGAATTGATTGCTAGGGGAAGACAATATTGCCTTCATACTTATATATTCTGGGGTTTTCAGCTGTAATAACTGTGGAAGTGCTACTTAATAACAAAGTACATAGATAACATGTATAATTGTATGTGTAATAGGGAAGTGTCTGTGAATATATAGGGGTATATGGTGGGGGGAGAGAGAGAGAGA